CGGCACAATACTTTGAGTATTTTCATTCTTACTCAGATTTTGCATCCCTCTTGGGACTAGTAAAACAATTGACACTACAAAAAAATGACGGTTAAAGCATTCTGGTCTTGGTATTATGAACGCGATCATGCAGATCGTCTATTAATATTTTATATTTTCATGATTCAAGGCTGAGTCATATTGAGCGAGTACTAAAAAACTGTTTATGAAGRCTTTGTGGTCAGAACAACAATTATGAAGCGTATAGAAGTCCTACATGCAGGTAGTAGATACTAATGAGAAATCCTTTGATGAAGTTCCGTGTAAGATGGCGACTGTGGCTTATATTGAAAACGAAGAATTGTGACGGCATAAGGTAATGATATGAATGATAATGATACGCCATGTTATTCACTATGTTGATCAATAAAGCATAAAGACACTTATTATAATTTTTTTTTTAACTCATACATAATTAATGAGCTAATAGGCYAATAGAATGARCCTATTTGYTCACWTGCAYGGACCTTCATAWSTGATAAAACACTCCTTATTAGTATTCTTTAYATTYTTTATRTTATTTCTCGTGTTTTAAACTATACATAAAATATCAATTCTTAATCAGTTAAACTCACTCTTTTTTCAAAGCCATTCTAAACATGGCGTCTGGACCAAGGTTTCCAAGATATGTYACTATTTCGTCAAGTTCATCTTCTAAGTCCCCACGGTCATTAGGAAGGCTCTCCTCTTGCTTCTCGTTGATGACAAACTTGTACAGAATATTCCTATCCCGAAATTCATACTCATTGGTAACTACAAAACAAATCATTGCAGTTTTTTTAATTATTTTTTATATAAAATGGATTAATTCAATACAATGTGATACAAAGCATGCAATGCACGTAGAATGTAAACGAATCAATCAAATGCCATGAAATACGATGCAATGGAGTTGCATAGCGACGACAGATCAATGTCTGTTTCAATCTCAAACGATAGAACGTGCTATTTTCAGTCATTGTCAGCTATATTACTCTATACAGCCTTTTGCAAAAATTATGAGAATTGTCGAAATATCTAAATATCATAATATCAAGTGCATGATGGGTAATCCCACGCGATTCCCGTTTGTCCTTTGTCTTTGTAGTTTAGTTTTTTTCGGCGGTGACGGACTTATCCGTAGTTCTGAACATTTTCTCGATGTCAACAATGAATTATTCTAGCAAACCCGCGTGTTCTGGACAATATATGGATATGKATATTATGATATTTAGATATTTAGACAATTCTCATAATTTTTGCAAAAGGCTGTATACATGTATACAACTATATATACAAGCATACCATGAGTAATATTGCCTTCTTCTAGTAGAGCCTGCCACATGCTCAAGGAGTGGAATCTGCTATGGACTAATCTGGACTTTTTAAGCAGCCATCCAATTGCCTCAGAGCCCACAAAGGATTGTGGGTACGTCCGCATGTTGTACCTATGGTCCTTAAGAAGCTTTGGTGACGTGTTCATCATAAGGGTACGTAATACTTGCGAGGCACGAACCAGGGATCGCTTCGGTTGGTTCTGAATTAAAGAAATCGAAAGATGGTAAATACACGAAGCTTGCAAACCAATTCTTAGGAAAACCAAATCGAGTGCTCTGATTAAGGTTAACTGATAAACTTTGAAATCGATTTATGATAATTTCAGCAATCCCAAATCTTATTGACTTAAAGTCCGACTTCACACTCTTGGAGCGTCTAATTGAGTTTAGGTACGAGGGTTAGTAGCAGAGGGTCTTAATGGGGTCGTACGCAATGTACAAAATCCCAAAAATACTATCTAAGTAAGAGAAAACCTTTTATAACTAATTATAGTATTTTAAAATTGATATCTTCTATAATTACTTTAAAATTTTAGAATATATAAAATGCCCGTACGAATGGAAAACATAACTCGGCCACTCTGTTTAAAAATTGATTCTCGGTTGCGCAATCGCCGCGCTGTGAAAACTTATTATACGTTTAATGAAAACAATCCAATGAAAGCGCGCTTTAAAATATCACATTATAGAAAATATATAGAAATAATTACTAAATGATTCTGCAGATATTGCAATTAAAGATTAATGTAGGAAGCTAATCAAAGACAACAACAGAAAGCAAAAAGAAAAAAGAAAAAAAAGAAAGAAATATGAAAAAAGAAAAAACTTRAGTCGTGAGATTCGAACCCATGACCATAAAATCGAAAAAAGGTTGGGACGATTCCCCCGAGACATTCTGTGAAGCTGAGGMGGSGAATCGATTTACATTCCGGTTAGAGATTTCGGCTCTTCCATGCTATCCCGATAATTGGTCCTAACTTCGCGCTAACTAAAAAGCCAGTGAGGGAGAAGCTATCCGGCCCCTAGACACTGATGGATAACCCCTTGCACTAACCAGGCAACTATCGAAAGTATAATGTCAAATTGGGGTAGTCTATTCGGTGAAAGTGCCAAGTGGTCTATTATTATGTAAATGAGAGTGGTCCAGTGGCGCACCGCGTTAAGGCGCTGCTTGCAAATCCAATGTAGGTTTGACGGTACCGGRATCGATTCCCTGGACGAGACGTTTAATAATTTTGTATTTTCATTTCTATTTTATTTATTGTTTATCTTCTTTTTTTATTTATTCATTTATTTATTTTTTGCATAATTATTGTCATCTCTTGTGTTTCACTTTCCCGAGAACCGACTTTTTTTACGAAGTGGCTACATATATGATCTGCTCCCGCTCAAAGACTTCGATGTACTAACATACTAAATGACTGGTAGTTTTGTTTTGGAGATTTTGTCTGTACATTTGTACCGCTCATTTAGGAGGGTCTCAATGGGGTGGTACGCATCACGACTCATCACGGCTAAAAATTTGGCGATTTCACGACTCACGACTATTTTTTTCGAAACACGGTTAACTAGATTCATAGATTACTTTCAGAAATTTTTGAAATACGTTTATCATTGCTTTTTCATAATTTGTTTTGTGTTAGAGATAGTGAGCGTGGGAGCACAGTGTTATAGACACTCAGTTATTATAACGTTTTATCATCACTCTCAAATGTCAAATTTTGTACATGGCCTGACTTGTCTGCAGGACCTTGCAATTACTACCTTGTTGGTAGGTGCGATCCATTTAGAATTTTGAGGGGCTGGGGCGTGGAAGAGTGAAAGGTTTGGGGAAAACAATTCCTGAACGGACCGAGGGGCCGAAAAAAAATTCTTGCAAGGCAAAATTTTGAAAAATTCCACTAAAAGCTTTTATTTTTTAAATTTACAAAAAAAAAAAAAAATTACAAGCGCGCGCCTGCATCGGAGTTAACTGTCCTTCTGATCTGAGGGACAAAACTGAATCACGGCTCACGCTATAAAATATATTCACGCCTTATGGCTAATTTTTTCGCATTTTCACGACTCACGGTTAATTTTTCAGCCGTTTCACGGCTCACGGTTAATTTTTCAGCCGTTTCACGGCTCACGGTTAACCCCATTGAGACCCTCGTATCAGAGCTCTGGGTTTGCATCTAGCTCTGCCGAAATACACCGCTATCTTAAAATCATCATATTATTCTATCACAATACCTTTTCCTTGTTCTTTGGATGCTCTGGTTTCTTTGTTGGATCTGGTAAAACTTGTAACAAAAAGTCATTATTACGCAAAGTCGCACAAAACAAGAGAGAATTGAAATCTGAACTTGTGCAGAGGAGTTTATTATAAAATAACTGCTTAATTATATCCATGCATTATCAAACCCTGCGGGCATTCTCTTCGCTGTGTGTTTATGCTACGATTCTGGACTTGTTTGTCTACAAATTCAAGTCCTAGGAATGYATATAAAGCTGATGTTCCCGTCCGTCTAAAATACTGACCTTGATCAGCCTGTGCAGKCGTTCTACTCTGAGTGCCAGGAAAAATAATACCTTCCAGGAATTGTTTACTCCTCTGCAAAAGAAAGCAGCCTTTTATCAGGTATTCCAAAAATACAGTTTGTAACTGAGAAAAATTAATGATTTTTTCTCGCTACCGTTTTAACCCAATATGGATTAATCTTATAGGACAATCTCTTATTCAAGAAACAATTCAGAACTCACACAAAAAGGAAACTAAACAAAAAAAACTGCTACATAGATATATGAATAAAGGGAAGGAAGAAATACAGCATTTTTTATCTGTTCAGTGTGTAGATTTGTTATAGATGGAATTATTCAAGTATCCATTTCGCAATCTGTTTCCGTCGGTTTCAAGATCGAATCTTACAATTCATTCCTAGATCATAAAGTGCTTATAAAGATTAATCAGTTTTTGCTTATATTACGATGTTTTATTATATTTTATTTTAATTTGTAAACATAAATTTACGTAAAGGCTTGAAAGTGGTGCTGGTTGACCATGGCGGTTTAATGGAATTGCCAAAACCTCGGCGATTTAGGCTTTTATTTTGTTTACCGCCTTACCTCCCATATCTGCCTGAAATCCTTCTTCTCGACACGAATCATTACACACCTTGTGCTTGTTATTACAGTTGCATTCCTTAATATAATTAAATTTTAATTAATAATAAATTTTATATTAATAATAATAAATGATTCATTCAATCTCATCATGTACACCCATATSAGTGCAAAAATTTCACTCGAGATTCACGGATGCCGGGCCTTCATATCATGGCAAAAACGCTGTAGAGTGAGACAGGGACCGCGGAGCGGGATCTTGTTTGGGGGGGCTAGCGGCGAGGAGGTACTAGGGAGGTCGGAAATGCCATTTCCAGCGTTTTGAGGCGTTATCCAAGACATATTTACCACAGACACGGTCAGCAATATTATCAATAAAATCCCAAAGACTTGTAGCCCCCCAGCCCCCCCTGCTCCGCGGTCCCTGTGAGAGGTAAGAGGGGAGAGAGTTCAAAACAACTGGCAGATTTAAAATGACAGTCAATGCCAGAGTTCAAAACAGTAACAAGTTTTGCTAAAATACCTTGGTGTATCGTCAATCACTGATTCTCCAAACACTTTACCACGACCAAGTGTGCAAATAGTAACAGAATCCTTATAGAGAAAGAGAATTGGTTTCAGTTGGAAATCTCGAAATGAAATTTAGCATAAAATGAAATAGTTCTAATGCCATCAGAATATTTTGTAAATATCACACACTTAATTTAGTCATAAGCTTTAAAGTGAAGTGTTATTTAAATATCYATCCGATCTATCATTTATCTATTCGAGAACCGTGAACCATTATGGCTTCGAAAAAGCCCTTTTTTTCGATTATAAATTATCAGACTGAAAGAAATGACTTAACACAAAAAGTAAGCTTGCACAACGTAATAGCACCTGCCCTGGCGGTAATGATTGTAATAGGTTGTAATGTTACCTCCATGTGTCCAGTGTGAGAGACGTTAACGTCCAGTGTTCCGTCYAGTATAGCGTACCAGCTCACTCCAATATCACCCTGACGAAATACTAACAAAACCAGATCCAAATCAAACTTTGCGAAAGAAAGTTTAAAAGCAAAAATGGCCTTATGGGTTTGGTATCGATGAGCCAATCTTGCTATTCAAACATTGATAGTCTTGCTTTACCAGTATCGCAACCAGTTTGAATTATTTAAAAATTATGGAATGCCTACAAGGGGGCACTACACATTGTGATTTAGCTGAAAAGTATCGAAATTATACTATCTTTCATAATTCAAAAATTGAATTATTGATTGAAACCATCAAAACGTTGTATGCCTTTCACATCTTCTATGTTATAATTTGTTATAATCAAATATCCGTGCAGAATTCAAGATGGCGGCAATAGTATATAGGGTTATTGCAATTGTTGAAAAGCAATTATTTAAACTTAAAAGTAAAACAGCTCATATATTTAGGAACACCTTTAAATGTACAAATATTGTTCCACTATGTCATATCATTCGTGGGTGTATAACCTTTCCGGTCTAAGCACMGCAATSTCATCRCACACTTACAGACGATGCCTTCCTCGAGATCTTCATAGTAACCATAGTAACATATTTGCTGCAATACCATTGGATGAAATCGCTCAAATACTTTCATGTCCTGTTGAAAGTACATATAATCACTTCATCTCCTGCACGACTAACGTTATCAATGCGAGTTAAATCGTAAGCTGTTTATTAATAGAAAGAAAGAAAAGCAATTCAAATATATGCACAATATTCGAAAATGTCTGTAGGTCACGACGACCAATCGGAGGATTAGTGAAATGAGACGTCGAAGAAGAACAACCTCGAAAATCAGGTGGTTTTACCGTTACCCTCGCGAGGTTTTGCGTATCCCGGCATGGTTTAACGTCATTCTCGCGAGGTTTTGCGTATATCAGTGTGGTTTTACGTCAGTCTCGCGAGGTTTTGCGTATCCCCGCGGGCTTTTACGTCAGTCTCGCGAGGTTTTGCGTATACCGGTGTGGTTTTACATAAGTCTCGCGAGGTCATACGTCCAGGTTTTACGTCATTATCTCGTGTTTTTGCGTCATTCCCTGTTGGTTTTACTTCATACCAAATGATTAATTTCGAACTATTTTTCGTCGTTACCCACATCGTTGATTATGCCGCTCTTTCGACGAACATATTTCACACTATGTGTTGTTGTTGTTGTTTTGTTTTTTGTTTTTTGTTTGTTTTTTTTTCATACCTTCAGTTTAGCATAAATGATATCAATGTCTTCTCCAGTTCTGTCAGCTGGCCTGTGATATCAAAAATAGAAAATATAGTGCTTTCAATCCCGTTAGATTACAGTGAGCAACTGATACTGGGGCTATTTAAGGGCGACCCATTAGACTTGTTAGGRGATGGATGGAAGATTTTGAAAAAAATACATCCTGCACTGTCCGATTGAAGGGCCGAACTGAAAAAAATCCTGTTAGGCAAAATTTTGAAAAATCTCCACTAAAGCTTTTGTAAATTTACAAAAAATATTGCAAGCGCGCGGGTGAAGTCGAAAATAATTCTTGCACCAACTAGACCTTCCATCGCCCCCTCAAAAGTCTAATGGATCGCCCCTTACTACACAATGAAATTTTATTTAAGTGATAGATGATAAATCTAGCTACAAATTATGCTATGTAACTAAACTGTTTTGAATTCGTAATCTATCTGGTCTCGAAATGACTCACTATGCAGTGCCGGATCCAGGATTTTTCAAAGGGGGGTTCCACTTTGTTTTCGCATTTTCCTAAAACGAACTTTTTAACTGTGCCTCTCGAACTGTAACAAATGTAGCGTGAATGGGAGTGGATTTAAACTTAACTTTTTTTAGTCCTTTCTTCAACCAAGCAAGTTACTTTGTGGATTAATGTTTTATCTGAAAAATGTTCTCGATTTTTTTTTTCGCTGTTGCAGCTAATGGCGCTCGCTAGTTGTTGTCGTTTTTGTTATTTTTATTTTTTGTTGTTTGCTTTTCTTTTGAGGAAATTCATAACTTTCTTGCTAACTGTTGCTCGGATTTTTTTTAAAACGTTTTCAATTTCCTCATGAATTCAGCGAGCGTTCTATTATAAAACGGTTATCATAGAACTTATATTATTCAGGTTGTCACTTTGRAGTGTGACAGCAAACAAACCAAAGACACGAACAAATAAATACTGTGCAACTCGTAGCTGCTCTAAGCTAAATGGACAAGCTCTCTTGCTAACTGTTGCTGGAAATTACTGAAGGATAAATAAGTATTTCAGTCATAATTTCGTAATGAATGATGACCTTTTTTCAAGCACGACAAGGGGAAAACAGAGAAGTTATAATACTAAAACTATAGATCATTTAGTTGAAATTTCGAACAGTACGATCCGGAACAAATTCTTTCTTCCCTAGAAAACATTACAGCATACATTATCCCCTAATTTCTCTAACCTCTTTGCAAAACGAAAATCAGTGATGACCTGCATTCAAAATGAGCGTTTATAGTCGACAAAAGACTAGTTACTGACATTTTAAGATTGATCAACTAATGTATGTAACAAATCTCTCTGAAACAGGGAACTTTACCTTCGATTCAAGCAAGCGATCCAATCGGAAACCATTATTATTACAAATATTCCCAATGAATTATAAATAGTAGTTAGCCTACAGTTCCACCATTACCAAGCTGTTTCTCCTTCCGTATAGGAATGTAAGGGCACTGAAAGAGTAGTCAAACAGGTCATGTAATCTTAAGTAATGATTGGCTCATTTGAGAATGCAAATTCAACCAATCAGGAATGGAGATGAAACCTTTCAGCAGAACAGCTATTTGATTTTCTTTTGCCGACTTGGAGCAACGATGAAAACGATGAAAACGACTCGTTCGGAATAGACTGATCCTTTGGTATACAGAGTAATAAAGTGGTTAAGCTGGGGCAGTTTCATAGTCTACTGCACGAGGCACCTGAATATGAACAGCGCTGTTAAATAGTTACTTTTTGTTGGAATGGCAAAGGAATAGTGGCCATTCACGTTTGCGGTTCAGACTTACTGAAGTACAGAGTTTACAAAGCACAAGAGAGAATCATTCAGAGGCTAGGTCGACAACGTGATTCTACAATAAGCTGATCCATAAGGCGAGCCCTACTTTAAAAAAAGAAGTCTTTGCAAAAAGATTAACAAGTTCAGGGGACTAGCTCTGCGGACCCAAACGTCGACTGCGTATTCAACTTATTCAAAAACTACTAATGGGTATAAAATTATGCCTGGTGTCCACATAATCGCATGAATCGTCACGATCGTCCAAAAAACGTTTTGAGGAAACTAGAACAATGGCAAAACGCATTTGGGAGGATTAGGACGATCATATGAACATTAGACATTACAAAAATCCGGATGGAATTGACATTTAACAAAGTATAAAGCCTTCACAGAAAAATCGCTCGAAAAAAAATACTGCATGTGATCAGGTCCAAAAGCAATATTACAGGATCCTAGAGTTCCCTGAAAATCCTGAAGACACTTTAGCACTCGAAAACCATTCTGCACAAACATTACTAGGTGATTGACTTCCCAATGATCTAAGTCGGGTTTTAGGGTTTGAAATCCTCAGTTTCGTCCCGATTAGGGGGATGTTGATGAGAATTTCGACCAACTAAGTTTTGTAGTCTCTTTTAGGGCCATAAATATAAAACAGCCATAAATCAGAGTCAATAAAAAAACCCAACTGCAGTGCTGTTATATGGTTCTAAAATCAAACGAGCAGACAGTGTTTGATGCTAGTGCAAAAGGACACATAAAATCGAGAGTACGAACTAGGCTGACAGGTTGACAGGTTATTTTGATTTGGTTCCTTTTAGGGGGTTAAATTTCATCACTACCACGCCCGTCATCCAACCRTACAGGTCCCTTTTAGGGGTCATTTTCAGAATTTCCGTCAAGGACCCCCGCCCCTTTTAGAAGAGAGTCTCCTGGGTGAAACTCAAGGAAACCAACACTAAACGATAGAGAAACTTGAGAAATACAGTTGATTCGGTTGGCAGATTTCGTATGACTGTACAAAACCATGGATCACGGTACTTACACGACGACAAGACACGGCCAAGGAAACTCGCCATGGTCACATTACAAATAAAAATAATGATTCAAGTCTCGGCACAAAAGTACCCGTGTTTGTTGCACGTTCATGAGAAATCCGCTCAGGTCGGTTCGGACAGTGAGGATGAACAGCGACCAAAAGCCAAGGGGCGAAAGTAGAGACAAAAAATCAGCCCAGGCCATAAATCCGGCCCTACAATTCCGAGAGTTGTTATTATTTATTTTTTTCGAGTTTTATTTTATGATTTACTTTTATTAATATAAATTCTACTAAAACAACAAAAAACACTTATAAAAAGTTGTGCTTCAATTAGTTTCTAATCGAGTGAATGAGCTAAGTTATGAAAATTGAATAGTGGATAGATTACGTACGTTTATATAATTTTTTTTTGCTCTTCCTCGTTAHCTGGCCTCGCACTTTTTCTTTATTTCCTCCGTTCGTTTCCATTCCTATCTTTTCACAGTTCTTTCCCATATATCAGTTCGTGCCTTCTATAATCCATCACGTGCAATCAAAGTAAACTTAGCAAATAAAAAAATATAGCAACATAAACAGAATATTTCTGTATAACTTCTTTTATGAGTTGAATTTTCAGCAGAAAACACTTTGATATTAAACTTCTTTCTATGATTAGTTGATCAAATTAGTGTTCGTGAGCTTAGAATTTTATCAATGTAAAGAAAAGGCGACATAAACTAAAAATGTTCCTTTGAAATCTGAATTCCATGCTTGATGCTTGATTTAAATGAAGAATTTTAGGGAAGGCAGCATTACTTTATGATCATAAAGTTATAAAGAAATATCTCCTATTTCGGTTAAAAAAACTTAGATTACCTGAGATTCTTTTGTTTGTAGCGTGAACTGATCGATTCCAGTATTTTCCTTTTTTTCATCCTTTCCCTTTCTTCCTTTTTTATCTCTTGTGTGTCTGACTATAGCGATACATTGCATATTGGGCATGTTTAATTAAGTTAAAGGTTTCCTATGGAGAACTGTTATCTCTAAAAATAAAAGAAGGCTCTCCAACCGTCTCATTTTGGATGTCTTGAGCCAAAGAAACCTTGCATGATACAGAAAACAATTTTTCTATGCAGGGAATTTCAATAAAACAAAATTAATGTCCTGTCGTCCCCCAAGTACATAGCTAGTGGGGGTAGCGAGGCCCACCCTACGGCCGTGGTTCAGGTGAGTTGAGAATTATTTAAGTCTATGTTAAGAAATTTAAATTAATTGTCTAATACTGAGAAAGCTGTCTTGACAGTTTTTGGTCGACCTATCTAAAAGAGATTGACTCGTTTCTTTAGCTCCATCTGTTTCCATTCGGGCTTTTTGTAGAAATCAACGAGTGTCATGCCGAACAAAGATTGGAATTCGTCTTCGTGAAGGTACAGCTATAAATTAAGAAAAGAGGCACATATTAGAGATATTGGTATGCTCATATATAGATGACATGGCCATAATTGTGTTATAGTTTGAATCGAGCTTYGACTCTTAATGTGGCATCTGCTTCACTGGCCACATCTCACAGCTCGACTTCGCCAAAATACGGCAAAAATATCGAAGAACTATATGAAAACTATGAACAACCGTGATCATGTTTCAGTGTTTCCCAGTGTTTACAATTGCTGTGCGAGAAGGAACTGGGAAAGAAAGTTAAGCTTAACTCCCCGATCGGAGCTACACCAGCTTCAGATAATAACTACAATGATTATGACGTTACCTCTTTCTTAGTGAGGTCAAGATGGTCAGGCAAATCCTCATTGTTTTGTAATTCATCGTAACTGTATCTGGCATTTTCTTCCTTTTGAAGAAGGATCAAATGCTCAGCCTGTGAAAAGAATAATGTTAATAAATCATATATTYCATTTCATTCATTTATTTGTTTTTCATTTAGTGTAAATTTATTCAATGATTTCGGTGGAGCATTTTTTTTTCTTTTTAATTCCTCCCTGATTCATCAATTGCATTCATTTACCACCAATAGACCTAATCGGCTAACGGCGTTGCTATGTACGTTGCTACCCAATTCAAATCCTGTGGGAAAAAGAACTTTTGTTTCTAAGAATTCAACAGTGAAATGAAAATACAACGAACAATGAAACTTACTCCCGGGTGGTTTGAATTGGGTTGAAGCCGATTAGGTCTATTAACAATAGATTAGCTGAATCGCGCGCATTATGCTGTGATGGTTCCAGTGAATCCAGGAAAATCCAGTTTCCAAGAGCAATTACCACAGCAAAATGTCCGCGATTTCAAATGGTCATTATTTTTTTGTAATTATCTAACACTGTTGTTGAACAAAATGCTCCCATACAGATAGTCGTGCATTATCGCGTCATGTGGTCGGTTCTTGATCAGTGAGAATTATGGGGAAAAATTTGTCGTTGAATTGCAAATTCCAAAAGTTTTCATCTCAATTGTGAAAGGGTAGATCTTCGCCTCTCTAGGAACGAATTCTCTGATTGGCCGTGTCATTCTTTAGAGAATAATATAACTTTTTTTTTTCTTCTTTTGTTTTGAACAAGCCTTTTCTTGGATTACATCTTCCATATGGTGAAAGCCAACTCTCCAGAAATGGATATTATTTGTTTTGATGCTTACCGCTGACCTCCCAGAGGTTTCATACACTGCCAACTTCTTCATTTGTTCATAGGTYACTTTTTCTTCACGATGGGTTTCCCACACTCCAAAATAGGCAGTGAARCCGGGTGCGATGTTCTCTTTTCCTTGGGCAACCATGATTACCGAAACATCTCTTGCGGTACGACCAGAAGGATCACTGTCAATGAAATCCTATAAAAAAAGGCTATTTTTTAGCTGCTTATACACAACTTAAATAGTCCAGCCTGTGGTGTATTTATTCGCATAAGTCTGACGTAAATTGTAACGACCATCTTGTTCACAGAAAATATGGTTTTGTGCCATATGGATCATTTTCAATGATCCATATGGCACAAAGATCTGCATGTTTTGATGAGAATAGATATAGAAATGAAAGAACGTTATAGTGCTTAGAAGGAGGGAATTCCGGAAGAAAGACCCTTAGGAGTAAAATTCGGAAAAATTAATTTCCGACCTTGCTGGGATTCAAACCCACGACCTTCGGATTATAATACCGATGCTCTACCAGCTGAGCTACAAATCCAGACTGGGGTCTTTCTCCCGGAATTGCCTCCTTCTAAGCACTATAAGTTTCTTTCATTTCTATATCTGTTCTATCATAGTGCCATGCGGTCCTCATATTCATATCTTTGATGAGAGTACAATTGTGATATACTTACTTTTAAAAACCTGTTGGCCCCGACCCTCTCTTCTTTCGTGCTGTCTTTTCCAAACCACACRTARATAGTTGTAAACACATCSAGGTAGAAAACGTCATCACTAAGCAAATCGTCCTGGCTAAAGTCAAAAACTTCCTCGACTTCCATGCTTCCTCTGATGTTGAAAAGACGGAAAAGTCTTGGCTCTCGCTCACCACAAACCTAACACCGTCAAAAATATAAGATTTAGATTATCTTTGGCAAGTATAATTACCCGAGCAATCAGCAGAAGAATGATAAAAACAAACACACCAAAACTTTTGCAAATTGAGCAGGTGAAGAATGTTACCTCACTAGGATTCACAGTTTCCAAAATGTTGTGATASTCCGTCTTTCCACCAAGAGCATCCCAAAAGTTCTGTGGCTCAGTTTTGCCTTCGACCAATTTCATAAATTCGCAGGAAGTGCCAAACATCGACACGGCCGCCTCATGTGCGATTCTTTGCTCGTCGCCCAAGCTTCCTCTTCCTAGCCAAATGTAGACTTTTTTCCTTGAGACTCTCAGTACGAAGCAGTCATTTGAGTTCAAATTAGAAGCAATAGGAGAAACCTACAAGTTATTAAATGTCAAAAAAACTTAGGGACGGTCCATTTAACTTTTGAGGGGGGGGGGGGGGGGGGGAAGATTTCTTGTGAGCAAGATTTTTTTTTTCTTCGTGGCTTTTGGGGAGGATATATATTTTTTCTCGTGGTGGTGTGTGTGGAGGATTTTTTTCTTCTTGTATGCAACATYTTTTGGGGCTTAGGGTGGTGCAATATATTTTTTTTAGGTCCATATGTTGTGCACGTTTTTTATTTTTGGTGAAGATGGATTGCAGGATTTTTTTTTCAAAATCATCCCCCCCCCCACCCCTCAAAAGTTAAATGGACCGTCCCTTATTTTTATTAAAAATGCGGTATTGATACTGTTAACAATTGTACCGTAACGTGTTTTAATAGATCGTTTTCAACCATTCCCATGAGATTCAAAAGATAAAAGACCGGCGGCCATGTTGGAGGAGTGAACAAGATAGATACTAATGAGAAATCCTTTGTTGAAGTTCCTCCAAGATGGCTGCTGTGACGACGAAGAATTTTAAACTCACCTCCACTACTTTGATGTTCCCTGCTTTGCCTCTGATGTGGTACATGCGAGCTCCTTGATCGTCAAAGTGTGGCTTAAGAAAAAAATAGCCATTATTATTTCCCGAGTTCTAATGACCGTGAATATTGTATTTTTCTTCAATTCTGTGGTTGATTTTGACCTTGTTTTGCCAAAACAACTCGCGGATATCAAAACGTTTGCAAACTGCGGCGAGCTTTTTAACATCTCAATGGTTTCTCTCATTTCATTGGTTAAAGAAATTGTTTGTCCTGTTTCTATTGGATGACAGCAGAGGGCCGTTGTTATTGGCTAACACCAGCGAGCTAAAATATAGGCTGCAAAATGTGCCACAATGCCCTATCAAACTAGTCCCTTATTATTACCTGTTTGATCATGATGAATCCACCAAATATTTTCATAAAGTGAAGAGGTTCCTTTGCTTCTGTGACGCGTATCTAAAAAGAAAGTTCCGTTACGTGAAATCCCATATTGAACATGGATATACTTTAATGAAAATGGTGCCAAAATAAAATCATCCCAGCTACCAATTTCATTGTCAACCGTAAAAKGAATAGAATAGAAATAATAAAAAGTCCTATAGGAGGCGTTTCCTTTAGGTATTCGTAAAGGCAGATTAAATGGTGGAGAAACATGAAATATGAATTGTCAAATGAAACTGGGATTATATATTCTTTGTTTTACCTGGATAGCATCATCGTGAAATTGGTTGGAGTCAATGTCACTGGCGACAAGAGCAGCGGCGCCATGCTCTTTTTGCTCTGAGTCATTACCCTGATTTGAAAAGAACAGAAGAAAAAGAAAATGTCATGTAATAAACGATATTTACCTTACGTGCTATTATCGAAAAATATAAAAGAAACAAGTAAGCGGTCATGATTCATTGGAACATGCGCAATCGATGCAATCCTAAAAGCACTTAGGGTTGGACAAGAGTAATCACTAAACAGTAGTTAAAGTGCAACTGAACACTTCTAGAAAGTCATTTCATTCGAAAGAGAACATGCTGCTAAGCACTTCTTCAAAGGGAAAAAACATTCAAATTTATATCTTCTGATTTTGAAATATTTGAAAATCGGAAATGCAAATTAAGTGACGTCTACTAAGGAATGATTTAATATGCAAAATCACGAAAAAAATACATTACTCTTTTTTTATATCGGAGATGACATTTCCAGCTCTTGAATATCACTGTTATTGATGATTTGACCATTTCAACCGAACGCAAGATATCGCAAACAATGAAAAACCTCCAGCCCAATTCCTTGATTGACGTCATTTCATTAGCATTTTCAATTTTCAAATGCCTTTAACTCAGAAAATTAAAATTCAAAAAACCTTTTTTTTCTTCAAGACAATGATTAGCATCATATTTGCCTTTTTTTAAAAGGATTTTCTAAAAGGGTTAAGTTACACTTTAAGACATGAATTGCCTATAATAAAGTGCTTACAATCCAGAAATAGATGATTGCCCTTTCTTTGCTTCTAGCTTGTTTGCTCCTGTACTGATACACAATCACRTAGCTTTCACCAGAATTAAAAACAAAGCCGTCATTATTCTCCAAGATYCTCTCGTCTTCAGCACCTTTTCCTTCAGGTATGATACGATAGATGGTCTTCCTGCCTTCGCCGTGGTCTAGATCGTCTTCGCTCAAGGGATCTTTTCTCTCTTTCGCTGGTTTATTGTATAAGGTTCTGAAGTCAATTACGGTGTGGACAGACTTGGCTGAAAGAGAAAAATCAATTGTCAACTCTGCTCGTCTTAAAAGGTGATCAGTATAGTCCCTTGTTTCAACGATATACGTTATAATCAGTAGCTTCACTAGAGAAATCAAGATAGTCCATATATGTGTATGCGTTCMCRYRYA